GTTGCCCTTTAATACATCTAGAACAGTGGTCGCCAACCAGTGGGCTGGGGACCACTGGTGGTCCATGAAAAATTTTTGGTGGTCCGCAGAGAAATGTCACCCCCAAAGCAATTAATCCAAGCTGTGTGGGAACACAAGGCTTTGCGTCACTTGCATTGCGAACAACATAAGGTAGTGAGGGGAAGGGGGAAAGGGCAGAGGGGGAACTCGCCCCACACACCTGCCCTGGACACCGGGCTGCTTCTTTCTGCTTCTTTCTTCTTCTGCTTCTGGCTGCATACAAGGAAAGCAGAAAAAGTCTTTCTTTCTCTCCCCCAAACTCCACCAGAAATGAGTCTTTGGGACTCTGCAAGTCCTTCTGCTCCAAGAGGCTAGGTTGGTGTGACAAGTCTCACAAAGACTCATTTCTGGCAGAGTTTGGGGGAGAGAAAGAAAGACTTCTGCTGCTTCTGCTGCTTTCCTTGCATGAAGCCAAAAGTCTCTCTCCCTCCCTCCCTCTCTCTCTCTCTCTCTCTCCCTCCCTCCCTGAGTACAGAGCTGGAGACAGTTTTCTGCGATCCCAAATAAAGAACTATCGATTGGTAGGAAAACAAGGTGGGGAATTTTCCTGCAGATTTTTTTGGGATTTTCCCAAGGTCTCTGGTCCGTGGGATTTAAAATGATGAGTTTGGTGGTCCCTGAGATCCAAAAGGTTGGTGACCCCTGATCTAGAAGATGGAAAGCTGGGAAGTTCCTCCAGCTGTTGCAGTACACGTAATCCTTGACTTATGACCAAAATTCAGTTCAAAATTTCTGTGGCTAAGTGAGACATTTGCTTTAAAGTGAATTTTGCCATACTGTACGACCTTTCTTGCCACCGTTGTTAAATGGATTTTGCACTTTTAAGTCAGTAAAACGGTTGTTCAGTGAATCTGGCTTCCCCATTGACTATGCTTGTCAGAAGGTTGCAAAAGGTGTTCACATGGCCCTGGGACACTGCAACCGTCCTAAATATGAGTCAGTTGCCAAGCCTTTGAATTTTGCATTATGTGACCATGCTGCAACCGTCATTTTTCTCAGTAACTTTGTAACTTTGAACAGTCACTAAATGAACAGTTGTAAGTCGAAGACTACCTGAACTATTACATTCATAGATACATAGATATATACAATATCAAACATAACATTCCACAGAGCACAGAAAATAGGTAAGAAATACTAAAACTAAATACTAAAATTAAAGGCATAAGATATAAACCCTAAAACCAGTTTACCCCAAACCCCATTCTACCTCTCCATAGCTTTATAAACTTGCAGTGATCCACATCACACATTGCCTTTTGCCCTTGAAACTCCTCACCTCTCTCTTGCTAAGGATCTCATTCACTCCATTCAACCAGTTTTCTCTTGATCCATTCACTCTTTCATCCTATATTTATTTTGCAATTCTCTCCTATTTTTTCTACTTACAGATTAACAGAGTTGGAAGGGGCCTTGTAGGTTATCTAGTCCAACCCCCTCTACCCAAGCAGGAGACCCTACACCATTTTTGACAGATAGTAGTCCAGTGTCTTCTTGAAAGCCTCCAGTGATGACGCTCCCACAACTTCTGAAGGCAAGCTGTTCCATTGGTTGATTATTCTCACTGTCAGAAAATTTCTCCTTATTTCTAGGTCTCCTTGATCAGTTTCCATCCATTATTCCTTGTCTGGCCTTCAGGTGCTTTGGAAAATAGCTTGACCCCTCCTCTCTGTGGCAGCTCCTCAAGCATTGGAACACTGCTATCATGTCTCCCCTGGACCAAACCACCACCTACTTCCAGGTTCATGCACCACCCCTACTTGAACCTACATCTTCTTCATTGCATACACCCAAGCGCTGCCTTCTCACTGCACATGAGTTACTTTTGTGACACATCCAACTCCTACTGCCATGGAATAAAATAGGCAGAATCACTGTCTTAATACATGGCCGTTTTCACTTCTTTTGACAAATATTCCTTTCTTGCAAGAGTTCATATACTAAACTTACCTATCAGCATTTCCACATCTTAAAATGTCTCTGTTTTTTTCAGTTACCCTTAATAAATGTTCTGTCAAGGCATACATACAGTATTCATCTATTTGATATAGAATTTTTTTTTTGCCATGGATGCTTTACCGAAAAATATTTACACCGTGTTATTTATTTATGATATTTATATAACGCCGATTCTCAACTCCCTGTCAGTTTCATTGTGTCTGGTGCATTTAGCTTTATCTTTAATAGATGAATTTTCAAATCCGCATTTTCTTCATTTGCCTCACGCTCTTTACCAGGTGGGCTTTACAGATTACATCTGCCTCACAGTGAGCAGTGGGTTTAGCTGTTGACTCTGCTGGGTGCTGTTTTTCCTCACATGATTATTTATTTATTTTTAGCGGTGGGAGTTTGTCCCACTATAATCTGGTGGAATAAGCACTTGGACAATGCTGCAGTTCATGTTGACTCTAACTCCTGCATGATGTGGGTGCTGATAATGCTCGAGAAAGCCTACACGGCCATGGACCTCTTCCTGCTGAGGAAGGGGGAGAACAAAGGAAAGAAAATAGGTGGAGGGAGGGAATGGCCAATATGGACACCCTCCAGGATTAGAAGTAATTTTCCTCCCACTCCACCCTCTTCTTGGAACAGAAATGAGATTGGTTACTAAGCAACAGAGTCGAAGAGAGAGGGTTTTTAAATAAATAAATAAATAAATAAATAAATAAAAAAGCCAAAAGACATGCAGCAGACACAGATGGGAAGAGTGGGGACAACCAGGGAAGGAAGCTTGGGTGAAGACTGAACTGAAAAGGGGAACTGCCTTTTCTGTTCGATATTTGATGCTTGGAACAGGATCACGTCCCTCTCCCAGATCAAAAGGGGGAAGGTAGCTGATTGATTGCCAGTCAGAGATCTGAAAACAGAGGCCTGACGAGATGTAGCAGGACCTGAAGAAGTGCTCTGCATCAACCCTTTGCGTAACATCCTGTTCCTTTCTCCCACTCAAGGGGCTGAAGATCTAGAGAAGTACCATCTTCCTGGAGGAAGTTGTTGTTAGGAATGGCATCTTCAGGAAAGTCTCTCTCTCTCTCTCTCTGCCGAGAAGAGAAAAAAAAACATTTTCTGGGAGGTCAGCATCATCTTGGATGTCAACCCCTTGCTACTCTGGGAAGTCAGTGAGGGAAAATCTTGGACGAATTATGGGATTCTGTTTTTAGGTTCTCACCATGAAAGCCAAGGATCCAAGCAATTTGAACGAAGAATTTGAGTTAAAATTATTTTGCTGCATCTGGCAAGGAGCAACCTGGCATCCTCTCTTCTGCACAAAAACAACCAGAATGGCGATTTTTTCCCCTCTCCAAATCTGGGTTATCTTTCAGATTTGGAATGACTATTTCTTCAGTGGCTTTGATATACTGTATATATCTTTATCTCAGCACACACACACATTTTATGTAAACATCTACAGTATCCTGATGTTTTGGGTATCCCTAACCTACAGCTGCTTCTGGAAATAAATCCAATGCATTACATTTTTTTAAAAATGAGAACATTATGATAAGTGTCTTAGCCATACCTTTATGATATGGTCTAATGAAACTTTTTGAACATGCTTCTTGATTCTTTTTTAAAAACTCTAACCAGGTCATTTTGAGTATCAAGTCAGCCTTTTCCCATCCCCTCCTCCCCTTGGGTCATTACCACTTTGTTGTTGTTGGCAGATTTTTTTCTGATGAAAAGATCTGGCAAACTTGAAAGGTTAACCAAAACTTTGTAGAAGTTTGAGTTTGTCCTTTTTTGAGTTTACCATTAAAATTTTATTGCTTCTTATGGACTAATACAATTTTCTTGGCTGTTGTGCTTCCTGGTGAAAAGATTATTTTGGAATATACTAATACCAGCTGTCAATTCTTTTTTAAGCCTATTGATGATGTACTCCCTTTTAATTATTATATAGTATACACTATTCTATATGCTAGATGCTTCCTACATTTATTATTTCAAAGAATCTTATGACTTGGTGGTTATAAAACATTTGGCAACTTTCTCAGATGCTGGGTGCCACTTCTCATAAGCCTCAAATCTCATAGGATCCCCAAATTTTATGAGACTGTGGTGACTTCCACTTTTAAAAAAAAATTTTGTGAAGCCACAATAAATGATTTTCTCTCACAAGATCTTTGTTGCTGTGAATCAGAAAGTTTAAGTGAAGTTTAGCAGACTAAACTTGGAAGAAGTTGGAAGAAACCTTGGAAATCTTCTAGTCTAAACCCCCTGGTCAAGCAGGAGGTCCCCAAAATAAGGGGTAATAATAAGCTATGCTGGCTGGAGAAATCTGTGAGTTGACGTTCACAAGACTTAAAAGTTGCCAAGTTCGGGAACCTCTGTCCTATATCATTCCAGACAGGTTCAGTCTCTTCTTAAAAGCCTCCAGTGGTGGAACACCCACAACTTCTGAAGGAAAGTTGTTCTACTGGTTAATTGTTCTGTCAGGAAATTTCTCCTTCATTAGTTTCCACCTATTGCTCCTTGTCCTGCCTTCAGGTGTTTTGGAGAATACGTTGGGCCCCCCTCTTCTTTGTGGCAACCCCTTATTTTAACACTGTTATCGTGTCACTTCTAGCCCTTCTTTTCACTAGGCGTACTCAATTCCTGCAACCACTCTGTTTTTATACAGTACCATTAGTGGGTATTTCGTTGTTGTTAAGGGCAAACACAAAGTAGTTGCAATGGGCTACCAATAGCAGATGAGCTTCCAAACTCGTACAATTTTCTTTTGTAAGGCAGGGTTGATTGCCCAGTAAAAACATCCTCTGGAAGCCCATTCAGATTCAGGGAGCTGGCAGAAAGTGGCTGGGTTTTTTTCCCCTTGCAAGTAGAATAAGGTTTCTAATTCTATATCAGTGTCTCTCATTAAAGCCAAACGGTCAGGGCTGCTTCGAAACTGCATCACCTTCAAGTCTCCCAATAAATCCACACTTGTTTGTGTTGTTTAAAGTCCCGCTTTATTAAAATAACTGTTGTTGTTGTCCATGGTAATGGCAATTCTGGCCCACTTCCCTTCCATCTCCAATCATTTACATTCACTTGAAAACAGAGACCCAAGTCGGAGACTCTAGACTGTTTGGAGCATGCAGGGAGCCAGAACTATGCGTAACCTGCATGGACAGTAAAGTTCGGTGTTCAGGCAACCCAAATTGCGACCAAACCTGAATACTGCAATCACCTTGAATTGTGCTAGTTGGTCAAATTTGCATAAGAGTCGTTTTGCATAATAGTTGGCCAGTGTGACTGCTTTGCATAATTTATTCTTAATTTATTCTAATTTATTTTCATCAGAGGGAAAACGTATAAGGCATTGCAGGGTCACTGAAGCTCCATATTTCCAAAACTCACTTAACAGCCATTTCAAATTATTTCAAGCAAGTATTGGCCCCTAGGCACGTATCTTCATAGCCTCAAAGGCCAGAAAAATCCTGAAAAAGGAAGCAAAACATTGAAAAAACAGACTCGGGAAGATTCATTTTGCAGACAAAATGTTCTTCTGGATTCCTGTGGACCTACTAAACAGAGCTAAAATAAAAGCCTTAAATGCAGGTCACTAGAACACCTTGGACATCTTTTAAGCATGCCCACAAGGACCATATCATGTACACATAGCGATTAATGATTTTAGATAATTATTGAAAATTTTGAAATCACCAAGTCTGCAGTTTTCTTCCTAATAAACTCTGTTACGTAAGAAACACTGTCCCTCTGGAATACATTTTCCACCCTACAATGCTCAGAGGTTTTTTTTTTTTTTTATTATGAACTCACAAGATCCTGGAATTGAGCTCCAATACTGAAAACATCCTGGCTGAAATTTGGGGAATAAAATGTGGGCACAAATTAACCCTTTCAGGCAGATACTATGCAAACAATGCCTAGTACACACATTCGCAGGTCTCTTTGCTTTCATGCAAGTATTAAGGCACACATACAAACTCACCATTTGTACAAATACAGATACAAAATGCAGAGCTGCTCTATTTTCTCCCACAACCAAAGACCGGGTTGTGCAACAGCAATATTTTTGCTTCTAATACTTATGTCTTCTCACTGTGATTCTGTTCCAAAGCTTCTCCCACCATTTTTATTTCCCTCTGCCTAAATCCTGAACAAACCACAGAGGACTGAGCGAGGTGCTTTGGGGATGATGAGAGCATCTATAGATTTGGGAATAATAATGGGAGAGTTAAGGTTATCATACAAATGTTTAAACCTGCTCCAATTCTGGACCTGAAATACAGCTCTGGAGATTTTAAAGAGTCCCACACTGGAACTTTTGTAGTCTGTTCTGGGAACATAAACACCTAGCATCAAAAAAAGTTGCAGATTCTCAAACCCATTTCTGCAGTTCCTGTATCACAGGACCTAATCAAAGTTTTTTAAGATCTCTCCAGAGGTTATGTTTATATAAGCTGCTACACCGATTCCTCAATTCTATGATTCGTCCTGGTCTTAACAAGAGAGATCTGGGAAATTCTCTGGTTTCATTTCTAAAACACAGGACTCTGCATTAAATTTTCTATTAAGATATTTTTAGTCATCCCAGGACAACCATGTTAGAATTATGTTCCTGCATCTCACTTCTCAAACTGAAAGGAATGATTCTAGAGCAGCTTTCATCAGTTAAGAGGTCATCATTTGGCCATGTTCATTGGAGGCATTGGGAGTGGGAACTTAACACATCAGCTGGTGAATGCGCTATCATCTCATCAAAAGTCTTGCCCGCAGAAGATTCTTATGGGAGAGGTGCAAGTCTCGGCCTAATTTCTGCATAATGGCTGGAGAAGGAGAAACACAAGAAAACCATAAAACCTTCAATATGTGATCAACATCATTAATAACTGGCAGGTTCCAGCCCTGACATGTTCCATTGCAAATATTTAAATTTTAAAAGAGGGCGGATCTGGATCAAGTTCAAGATGCTGTAATGCCCAGACCCAAAATTTCAGAAATAGTCCCCTCCCCCAAAGAAAAGTGTTGGTTTCTTGGTCTGTACAAGAGCTCTAGGGAGAAAGAGAGGAGGAGGAGAGTCTTTGGTTATTGATGTGGCCATGTCAGTCTCGCTGTGTGATTAGTAAGGACACCGTTGCCGTTGATATTTCAGAAAAACCCAAAAGGCAATGAGAACCTTTGCTGGAAGTAGCAGTCGTTCCTGAATGAGGCACCTCCCTCTCTAGTGTGAGGTATTTAGTTGGTCCCAGAAGGCTCCGCCACCAGGGCAGGCAGATAGAACCAAGAACAGGAGGTGTTGGTGGACAATGACAAAAATGTAGCACCCTTCTGGCTCCTACGTAGGATCCAGCTCAAAGACACTGTCATTGGTTGGTGAGGTGAAGAAGCAGGTCTGGTCTGAGGCTGGCCGCCGACTGCCCTGGCTAAGCCCCAGGGACTTCTCAAAATCCAGCAGCTGCCCCATGAAATTGAAGTTAGGTGAGATGTTGGACTTCTTTCGCTTCACCAGATCATAGGCATCGTTGAGAGACAGGTTGAGCTTCTGCATGAGGTAGGCTACAGTGACGGTGACCGAGCGACTGATCCCCGCCAAGCAGTGCACCAGAATGCCGCAGTTCCGAGAGAGGGCCTCATCTGACAAAAAGATAAGGGGGAGAGGGTCAAGTGAATGCAATCATACATAAAGGGCCGCCACTTCCAAGCAAGTGGAATTTGAATTGGATTTTGTAGGTGCATATTAAACGTTGTTAACCAATCAGAAATACCTTTCTAACTGAGCAAAAACCTTTAACAATAATTCACTTTACTTATTCATGATCTAAATGTTAATACTGAGATGTCATATTCTACATAGCATTGCAGGCCATACCAACACATTATCAAGAGGACACAAGACCTGGGAAAGATGAAACAGCTGATAGCAACGGGGGGAACAAAAAACTTTGATTCTTTTAACACTGAGGCTAAAGAAGTTTGCAAATCAATGGCAGAAAGAAAGAAATGGGTGGGAAGAAATGCATGTTTCTGGCTAGATAAACCAATCAGAGTGAGAAACATCATTACAAATAGTCCTTGACTTATGGCCTACCCAAAAAAGGGGACTTACGATCTGTATTCAAAGTTCAGACAGTCCATGGTCACATGACCGAATTTCAGGAGCTTGTCAACATGGTCACATATGTGGTCATTTGCAACATCCCGTGACCACGATTTATTATGGTTTCATTAAAAACCAGCACTTGCTTTTGTTTAGACTGCTGCAAAAAAGATCTAAAAATCAGGTTGGTTATATTTTAAAATTCTTACAAAATGCGACCATAATGGGCAGGTTCTATTACAGTTATATGTTGAGGACTATCTGTATTAATACTGCAGGTTCAGTGAGTGCAAAGAGCTGACCTTTGACTACTTAGCCTCCATTCCCCCCTCATTCCTCCGTTCTTGGATACAAGGTCTTTGGCCCTGCACAAAAAACTGACCCTATCTGAATTTCCACCCTTGTCTATTAGCAATATGAGTGGAAATTAGCACAGGATACCTGAAAATACTTGCTTTAAATAGATTTCCCAGCAAATCACACTGAATTAAACCCCATTTTCCATTTCCCTCTCTAAGTTATTTCTGCACAAGCTTTGAGCCCTATTTATTGTACCTCATCCACTCGAGGGAAAAAGAGCTGTTCTGAATAGCATGATAAAAGGATCAATGCGGAAACCTGACAAGTTTTTGGGAACTGTCAAGACTGGGTGCACGTTTTAGGCCCCCAGAGCCTTCCTCGTAGCATGGGGGCCAGACATAGCATTGATCTGATAACTGATATGCAATAGGAGACATCTGAGAGTGACAGGCCAATAACGTACATTGGAAACTGAAGAATCCAGATCTCCTTTTCGTTTTGATCTTTGCACAAACTTTGGCAACTCATTATAATGGACCCTGGATTGGAAAAATTTCAGTTTCTTTACTAACTGAAATTATTTGACTATAGAAGGGCAATTTTTTCCAATTTAGGGCAAAGAATGCAAGCACTCTCAATAACTCCCATGTTATTTATTGGAGATCATCCTTCTAGAGACCACAGAAAACCTTAAACAGATTATCTTGCAGAAATCTTTGAAATCTGAACAATGTTATTTATTTATAAAGAGTTTCTCCCTTACAGCTGACCTCTGGAGAGACAAGCACGGCTAGACTTCTATTTCCAGGAACACACGTCGTTTGAGGGTGACCAGAGGCCTAAGGAAATTATGGTAGATCACTACTTCCATTTGGGCTTAGAAGATCCTCCCCACAAAACCCTTTATTGAGGAATAATCATGCTAATTGATTTTCAGCAGCTGACCTTTTAAACTGTGGAGTAATATATATGTTAACAGGACATAATGTGTTGATAATGTGTTTGACAGGGGGAATTGTTGGTTTCTAAGGAGGCTTAAATGCTTGTAAATACTGAAAGGAGCATAAGAAGGGGTAAGTTAGAAATCAAAGAGCATTTTTTTAAAAAGTTGTCCCTTTCTGTTTTTTAATATGTGTAAACAACTATAATGATATTATGTAGTATTAAGTGTTAGGCTTAAGATAGAAACCTTTATTAGGTTACAAATAGGTCACGGTATTTTTGCAGTGTTTATTAGTGCTACATTTAGTTTTAGATGTGCTTTTTAAGCATCTTTATGCTTATCAACATTAATATTTGAGAAATCTGTTAATATTGACATAGTTTTTAAACTGGTCTAAATGGTCGAATTATCCATTTAATGATTGGATTGTTCATTTGTTTAATTGTAAATGCTACCCAGAGTCACAAGTGACTCTGCTTGTGCTTGAGATTGGGAGTTATATAAATTCAATACAAAAATCAATAATTTTCCCCTTCATCTTTAAAGGTGTAAGTTATCGTAGTGTCAAAGTGTTAAAAACCGCCAGTCAAAGTTGTATGAATATCACTGTACCCACAATTACATAATGTACTACTTGTGTTTTATAGTGGCGATGATTGCAACGTTGGGGGGCCTGGAAGAGCAGGATAGGGATAGATTGTCATGGAGGAAATCTATGTGGTTGCTAGGAGTCAAAAATGATATAAGCACATAAAATCATCCATCAAATCATCATCATCGTGGTACTATTACCCCCCAACCTGCGGACACTCACCAATGAAATCAATAGCTTCAGGGAAGAACTGAGAAAGGTTCTGGCTCCAGTGATCTGAGATGGGAATTTGCTTGTAATGGAAATCGCCATTCTTCTCAAAGAGGTTTGGGAGGTTTGGAGTCACATTGAGGATGTAGTGGATTCCCAGTTTGGCCAGCGTGTCCATGTTGGCAGAGTCACGGGCACATCCCAGGTAGAGATTGGGCAGGATCTGAACAGGAAAGGAGGGGGGACTTGCGCCTTCAGACTCCATGCCGCTGCTTAGGGGCTCTGACTCAGCATCTGAGCCATCTGAACTTAAGCTCAGGCCTCCCAGCCCCACGATGGGAGCTGCCGGGGGAACGGGGGAGCTGCTGGTACTGGCTGTATCCAGGTTGGTTTCACAGAGATGGGGCCATTCAGCCTGGAATTTATTGAAGCCTCCTGGAGGAATGACAGATCCAAAAAAAAAAGGAAAAGTAATCAGTGTTACAGGAAGCATGTTATAGGATGGCATCAGAAGGATCCCCAAATGGGGGCAAACCTTGTTTTCTACCCATCCCACGAGTCATTTGGAAGATTCACCCACATCCAAGGTAGTAAGCTGTATAAATCATTCAATTTCACCACAACTGAGCCCAAACTTTCCGTTGCTAAACAACAGCTGTTAAATGGCGTTTTGCCCTATTTTACACCCTTTCTTGCCAGAGTTGTTACGTGAATTACTGCAGTTGTTAAGTTAGTAACATGGTTGTTAAGTGAATCTGTCTCCTTCATTGATTTTGTCAGAAGGTTGCAAAAAGTGATCACATGACCCCAGGACACTGCAACTGTCATAAATACGAGACAGTGGCTAAATAAATAAATACGAGACAGCCAAATTTTGATCATGTGACCATGGGGATGCTGCAATGGTTGTTAAGTGGTAAAAAATGGTCATAAGTCACTTTTTTTCAGTGCCTTTGTAACTT